ATAAGGCCAGGACTAAGTATCTGTGTGGAACCATCAAAGCTCCCCCAACCCCCCATCCCAACATACACACACACACACACACACACACACACAGTATAAAAATACACAACACAACAGCAACATTTACACAGCAAATCATATTAAAATCATTTCAGTCACATTTATCATATTAATTACATTCAGCATTTTTACTCATTACCTTCCCTCCAAAACTAAACCTCATTACTGCTCTGTGGACAGAGTTAATGGTTAATTCAATTCAGCTTGAGGGTGAAAAAGGAAAGCTCTGATGAAGTCAGCATGTGTCTGAGCGTAATGGGAAATCCCAAGATAAACATGTACACATCTGAACGTAACTGACCTTATGTCAGCCTTAATGCAGCACTAAATGGGACACTGCTATTAATGCCGTTCTCAGATGGGCCAAACACACACACACACTTAATATAGCCTCCTCAGTCACACAGGCACTAAAGTTAGTGACAGAGGCGTGTGTGGACAGACGCTCACCTTGGCCCAGAGCACACACTGTAGCGCTGAGAGAGAGAGAGAGATCCTACAATGAGGATTTCCCCATTCTATTCCTATTGAATCAAATAAACACATTAGAGCCTTATATTAAAAGGGTCTGCATGTGTGTCCTTATGCTTTTTTAACCGATTCTACTTTAGGTGTTCGTACAGTGTTCATTCAAACACAATGTTTTGTGTTGGAATGAATAGGCAAATGCTCAACATCCTGAAACATTCCTGAGTCATTCCACTGACATAATACATAATGCTTATACGTCTACTTCTTATTCAAACATAGTCAGTATGTACTCTGCAGCCAAATGTTTTTGGGTACTCCTCTTATCTCACCTTCATACAAGAATGCTAGGAACATGTTAGCAACCACTATGCATACATCACACATACTATAGCAATACCTTAGCAACCACCTGGGATACCATAGCAATGGCCTAGCAACACTTTAGCAACCATGTTTTCCATCAAAACATGGTATTTTGTCTGCACTGTGTAGCTGTATTTATTGAATGATATTTCTTAAAATTAAGAACTGAATAATAAGCTTGCAGCTTAAGTGATTAATTAAATTAGTAGCACCTAAATGTTAACATGAGTGGGCATTCTAGAGCTCCTTTGTCAATAGTGCGCTGCGTACCACCTGCTCCATTTGCATATGATGCATTTACGTAAGCATGTAATGTACTGACGTTGAAATCTAGATAATCCAGCACACTGTACTGGCATGTCCTGTGTTAGACTCTGTCCTGATGTCATCACACACACATAGTTATGACCTGTGCATGCGTGTGTGTGTGCAATAATATGTCCCAAATGTATTTTATATATATATGCATATACATATGTCAGTTTATATAAGTATCTATATGTAATTTTAATTTTCTAAGCCTAATCCTAAACCTAATACTAATCTTAACCTCAGTAACCAAAAAGAAATGATTAAACATGGAACTTTTGTGAAAAAGCACTTTACAAAGTCAGGGATCATTTTGCATGTCCTAACATTACAGGTTAGCTGTGTTTTTCTCTGGTTTACCTAAAAATTTAGGTCATTTTGTCCTGAAAAGATACAAAAAACAAGCACAGATACTCTGTTCTTATATCTCAGTTGCTTTTGTGTATCTCTCTCTTTTTCTGTCTACAGTGCCTCAATAGTGCTGGTGCTACTGGACTCTGTAAGGTTGTGTAAAAAGGCCTGCAAACCCAATTACATCACTCTGACATGTCCTTTAGATTACAGTTCTAATAGCACACAGAGTCAATGAAGTCAATAAAGTTGCCCATACATGACCGACTAACAGGATGATCAGTCCTTCTCTCTCACACACTCACACATACATACCCAACATGTTCATTTAACTCACCATACAAGTGTTTATTCTTGATTTTTGTCACTGTCGCAGGAAAACTCAGAACTGCTACTGGTCCATTCTAGGAATATGCAAGCACTCTGCTAATCATTCCAAGAGGCAGTGTTCTAATACTGAACTCACTATTTGAGCATTCTTTAAGTTGAATGGCAGGAAGCAAATATACAGGCTAACTCAAGTCAGTGAATTACTGTTTTAAAATGGCTGTAAGGTATGACAGTTTCACTCATGTTAAAGATTAAGTATGCTGAATGATACTTTGTTGCAACAAAACATGACAGTGTCCAATGTAACGTTTTTCCCCACTGGCCAGTAGGTCAGAGTTTTACTGGCTCCTTGTCTATTTTTACTCTCCTGGAAACAAAGAGCAGAAAAACACTTTTCCATTAAACTGTTTATTATTCATATGTACACTGTAATGGTTTGTTTAAACAACAAAGAATTGATTCATTTTCATCTTACAGCATTTTCAGCATTTACATCCAGTAACAACTGTGGATCTTTCACTGCCTCCTTGAGCCACTTCTTTACTACTGGCGTGATGTCAAAGTGCTCCATGTCTGGACCCTCCAAACTAATGAAGAGCAACCTCGTAAGTGTGCGAACACTCATGTTGCTCCTCCAGTCAGTCATTTATGAGTAAAGTTACAGTAACAAGTCACAGATGACTCACCTTCGACATGCTACATCAGTGATGTGCTGAGAGCCAACGTCTTCTCCGCTCTTCTTGAGAAGGGCAACCGTTCCTTCATAAGAGGTGAAGGGGGGTTCACTGTTTACAATGTGGCAAGGAGTGTTGATTAACTTCTCCACCCGCTGGACTGTGCCATTGTTTGCCTGTTGTGTCCAGACATGAAGTGGCTCAGCTGACACACTGTCCGCCACCTGCCTTGCCAGCACACATTGCAAATGTTGGTGGCTCTTGTTGTGCACATCTAACCCCTGTTTTCTGTAGTTATAGAGCCCATTTGAAAAACGCTTGGCCGGCCTTGGCAGGGAATTGCCAGCAAACTGAGCATCCACCATTTTCCATGACACTACGAACCTCCTCTTTCCCTTAGTACCCTCATTTGCTTCCTTTGACATTGTTTTCGAGCTATTGACTGAGGTGAAAACACCGACTGCAAGAAAAAACTTGTCAGGGAATCGAGGGTTAGCTTCAGCCAGTTAGCATCAAAGGCGAACTGACTTGTGACTGTGATTGGCAGAAACCCTGTCACTGGCCCAAACAGGCCCATCGGGCCATTACCTATATGAAACACTGCACAGGTCTTAAAGTATTGCCAAGAGTGTGTTTCTAAGACACGTTGCTAAGCAAGTGCTGTTAAGAACATGATTGAGATGGCAGGTTATTGCAGCTATAAATAGGCTGACAACTAGCTAAATGTTACCTTAATAAACATATTGGCACATCAACCACTGAAGAGAGAAAAAACCTTGAGTAGAAGCCTACATGTCATCACCTATGACATGTACCTATGACCTATGACATGTACCTACCACTGCACCAGTTAGCTCTATTTTTAGCATTAGCTCACTGGCTTATCTGAAGGGGCAGCCTCTGTTGCTCAAAAACAATGACCAAAAGATTTCCCCTTTCTATTTTTGAATAACAAGACATTTTCAGACACCTCTGTTACTGCTAAATGTTCCCACGTCCTATTGATTTTTTTTGTCTGTTAGCACCTGTGCACCAGTTTACCATTTGTATGTTATGAGTAAGATTATATTAATTATTCTTTCTTTGCTTTGGTTAACCAAATATCCACTTATTAACTCTTACAGATACTCAAATATCAAAATCAATACTCGAATGCACATTCCTAGTCCATTCATCACGAAATCTTCATACAATGTGAAGTGCAGTTGGTAGTTTTAAAAGGTGTAAAGACAAAAAACTGAAAGTAACAGTGTTACAAGGACTAATTATGACAGTGACAATGTCTTTCAAAAGGACCAAGGACTAATCCTGACCCAGTCCCATCTGAACTAAAAGCCAGTTGGAACTTTCCATAATTCAAAAACCTTCTGAAGAATTTTCGAAACTGTTACTAAGCCAGTGATGGAAAACAGTCATAAGTGGAATCTAATATTCAACCACAGCTACTAAAAAAGCAGAAACCACCCCCATGTTTTTGTAAGCACAAGCTATCTGTTTTGCTGAATATCCAAAAGGAGATTCTAAGAGGCCAAGCCGGTGACTATTAATTACACAGAGTGACCAACAGCTCCTTAAGAGAACAGACTGAGGGCAACTCAACACAAACAACAAATGTAATCAACAATTTACTGTAGGGTATAGTTCATAAAGCTACATGACACCTGACATAACTCTTCATAAATGTTCATAAATGCTTATTGCAATAGGTGTCAGTCACTATAAAGGTACATTTGCCAATTTTGATCAGTTAGCTAAATGTGCCTTTTTGACAGATGATGACAGGTGTGGTCTTTTGTACAGTCTTGTTTTACATTTACCATTTTACATTTACATTGACCTGTTTTTGTCATTTTTGGACATTAAACAAACAAGATAGAAGGGCAGACTCAAACTTGTCAATGCAGAATGCAATTATGTTTTAGGTTCATTCAAATATAATCATATGTTTGTAATATATTATCATTATTATTAGTAGCAGTAGTATTATTAGTATTGTTATTAGTATTACTAATATAACTACTGAACTATGTGGTATTAGAGGTTACACAGACTAGTCGGCTAGTCGGCTCATTGGAGAGGGAGTATAACGCCCTTAATCCTGTAAAGTTTGAAGTCAGTTATTCTTATTTTAGATTTTTAAAGTTGATTATTTAAAGCCACTGGTTGCAGCATTCCCTTCTCCTGTGGTTTTACTCATGATGTCATCAGCGATTATTCAACGTTCACTCAACTTTCATCACAGTCGTGCAACCCCTAGTTGTTATAATTAAACCAGTTAAAAAGTATACAGAGAGCAGTATAATTAAAGTCAATGGATGAACAGTTTTACCAGACCAGTGAAAATGTCTCCATCTGCCTCATCTCTGAGCTCAGCCCCACACACTCAGCCCACATCTCTCAGCTAACAAGAGGAGAACGAAGGAGTTCTCTATCAGTACTCACGCAGGAAGTGCTTCTCCAATAAGGCTATTTCAAGATGACCTTTGACTTCATTGAGACGTTCAGAGTCACTCCTCAGGTCCTGCACGGTGGTCATGTTTAGAGACCCCGATCCAGC